CCCCCCCCCCCAGTACACTCTGGCTCTGATGGTTCTGCTCAGACTTGTCTGATTGTTCTTTGAGAGCTTGGCACAAACAGGAAACTGATTTTTTTTTAAAAATATTTCAGGGTTTAATGTTTGCAGGAAGACGACAGTTTTTTTTCTCGGTGCTTCCTCGTCGTCTCGTTCTTCGCCGGTTCAGGATCTGAACAGGTGCAGGTCCTGTCAGAGGTGCAGGCAGACCTTCAGAGGAGGAATCAAACCCACGGCTGTGAATGTGCAGAGAGAAAATACTGAAAACTAGAGGAAAATATAACATTTTATTTGTTTTAACAAGGACAGGTTATTGAGACCCCCCCCCCCCCCCCCCCACACACACACACACACACCAGCAGTGAAAGTCCTCTGAGGGTCCAGTTGGAGATGAGATGCAGCCGGACCAAACATTGAACTCTCATCTCTTCCGGCTCTGTTTTTATTTCAAACTGGACATTTGTCTGAGTTCTGGTCAGTTTGTGTCTCTGAGGTGGACTCCAACTATGTCCCAGAGTCCAGGTCCAGTCATGACGGACACTCGGTGGCTCCTCGTCCTCTGAGGAGTCATTTGCATTCGTTTGCCAGGGAACTGATTAGGTGGTGGTGGTGGTGGTGGTGGGGGCAGATTGGATCCCCTGCAGCAGAACAGTTTGTTGTTTTGGAGACAAACGAAGAACTCCAGATCCTTTAAACCTGATCCACTCTGAGTTCTCCAACGTGACCTTGGCTTTAAATGTGACTCTTATTGTAACAAACGTGTTTGTTTTTAGTTATTTAAGGATTAAATTGACAGATTAGTAGATTTTTCTGCCTTTTTTCTTTCACTTTCTTTGAATTTTCAAACAAAGCCAAACGGAGAAGTAGCTGGAACATGGTGTCCAACCGACGGCTCGGCCGAAGCTGCGCAGGAAAAGCGACCGAACGTTGCCCCGACCTCGACTCGTGAGCCGAATGAAACCGTACGGCTGCTTTTTGGGGGTGAATCTCCAGATTGAGGCGGAGAAGCAGCAGCCACAGTCTGGAAAGGTCAAAATGTACAGATTTCACTTTTAGGAAAGAAAAACGACCACAAGACTTCTCGTTTAACTACATAATGTATGATCTCTGCAGCTGTCCTCCTAAAACAGCTAAAGTTTACTGCAGCCGACCATGAAACATGCAGCCCTGATTCTAAAACAGCTGACGATTGTCTGTCTGTTAGCAAAATATCTCATAAACTACTGATTGGATTTTTATGAAACTTGAACAAAGCAATCGCTGAACGCACGACTACAAGTCTTAAACGTTTGGAGTCAACCTGATTCAAGATGGCCGCCACAGCTTATCGAACTTGACAAACAAAAAATTGCTATAAGTTGGTCAGTTTTACAGGTATTGAGCTAAAAGTTGGTGTGGTAGTAGCTGAGACTGATCCGCAGCTTGTACGCTGAGCAGTAACTGATGACGCCAGATCTGTGTTTGAAACTCTGGTATTAACTATTGGAGTCAACCATGTGTCTGTTAGCAAAATATCTCATGAACCAGTTGATGGATTTTAATGAAACTCTCATTGATTATAAGACACATGTGCACAACTGATTCAAGATGGCTACTACAGCCAGCTGATCTAGGAAAATACAAAAGCCAGCTAAACCACACAAATATTTAGCTAAAATTAGGTGTGGTAACTATTGATCCAGATATACGTATGAGTGCGTGGGTGAAGAGTAGTTTTGTACCCACTTGGTACAAAATATCTCCTGGATAAGAAATTGTAATCACTGTAGTACTGCATACTTGTTACATCTTAACCTACTATCGTACCAATTGAGCATTAAAATTCACAAATATTTGGCAGATGTATGGATGTTGCCTAGGTGCAAAATGGTAAAAGTTTCGTACACTATTAAAACAGAACTTAATTGCCTGGAAATTAAATGGTCACTATTAGCAACTTGTTGCGTCTTGTACCAATTAAGCTTGTATATATATATATATATATATATATATATATATATATATTAGTGATATAGCAGATAATGTACTGTATGTGCACGTGGGTGCAAAATAGTTGTATACCCTATTGGTACAAAATTTCCGACGGAACTGTAAAGGTATTTGATATTAACATGTATGTCTTGTACCAATTAGATTTAAATATTCATGAAAATTTGGCAGGTGCGCGTAGGAGTGAGTGGGTGTTGAATAGTTTCGTACCCTCTTGGTATAAAACATCTGGATATGGAATGGTAATCTGTATCACTGTATACATGTTGCATCTTAACAATTGAATACCATCGTACCCATTGAGCATTAATATTAGTGATTTTTTAGCAGATATACGTGCATGAGTGCTAAATTATATTAGTTTTGTACCCTTTTGGTCCAGAACATAATTGGCTGATAATGAATGAAGTGGTAATTACCATTAGCAATGTGTAATTGTTATATTTTGTACTAATACTTGTACTTATATTTTGTTCATATCTTAGATCTTATTACTGTTTTTCTTATACATTTTATTGTTGGATGTAACTGGGACCCTGTGTACATAATTTCGCTCCACCACATGTACCACATGAGGTGCGAATGACAATAAAGAATCTCTGACTCTGACTCTCTGACACTGAGCTGAGAATTTTAGGAACTTTTGGCATATAAATGTGTGCGTAGGTGCAAAATGGTGATAGATTTGTACCCTATTGGTACAAAATATCTCTTGGATCTAAAAGGTTACTTACTGTTTACAACAGGTACTTGTGTACATTGTGTACCAGTTTAGCTTATTTTATTAATATATATATTTGGCAGATATATGTAAATATGTGTGGGTATGAAATGGTAATAGTTTCGAACCCTATTTGTATGAAATGTAATGGACTAGATGTGAATTGGTAATCCCTATCTAAAACATTCTTTTTACATCTATTTATCCTGAATATTTATAAATATTTGGAAAATATTTATAGAATACATGTGTGTGGGTGCAAAATGGTAACAGTTTTGTACCCTATTGGTTTGAAATATCTTCTGGGTATAAAATGGTAATCACCATTTGCAATGTGTACTTGTGTACGTACACACAATTAGGCCTAAAGTTTCATAAATATTTGGCAGATATATGTATGAGTGTGCGGGTGCGAAATGTTAACACTTTTGTACCTGATTTGTATGAAATATTTCCTGAATATGAAATAAGCGCTATTAGCAACATGCACATGTACATTTTCTACAATTTGAGCCTAAATATTTATTAACCCATAAAATAATGGGGGTTATGATCACTTTGTACCAAAAAAAACAGCTGCTGGGTACAAAATGATTTGGCTGATGTAAGAACTTGATGTAACTGTTTTGTTCCTGTAAGTGTTTAAATCTCAGTTTTACTCATAAACCTTGTTAGGTTAAAGTTTTGGTCGAGAAAAACACTCTGAGCTTAAAAACATCCAAGTGTGGCAGAAAAACAACCAGTGAGAAAACATCAACATGGAGGGTACGTAGTGGCGCCGTGAATTAGCAGTTCTACCATGTGGAAGTGGAGGTGTGTGAGGAAGAAGATGGATGACGTGTGTGTGTGTGTGTGTGTGTGTGTGTGTGTGTGTGTGTGTG